CACTAACTTGTTAGGTTAGGAATTAATCACACTATCGTTCACATTTCAAAATGTGACGTAACTTAAAAAAAATAAACATTTAGATTTACCGTATGTTATTGTTGAACGGCTTTTAGCATGACTGAATGATCAACTATCACTTTTCACGGTTGGCGGTATAAGTAGCTCAGAGCTTTGGCTTTGAGTAAAACCAAGAGTGCAACACGATTAACCTATTTAAAGAGAGTGGTTCTAAAAACTGACTGATCTTTTCACGAAAGTATATATAAATTGGAGAAGCAAAGTTCATTTTATAGAGCAAAAAAATTCAATTGTCTAAAGTCAATGAAATAATTTAAATTGATAGATTAACTTAAACGTTTCCCGTCACTGGGGACGGGTATTTTTGCTTCTGATTTTATAAAAATGGCAACATCCTCTCTGTCCAATCATCATTTTTTGTAGTGGAGCCTAGTACTGAATTTTGTTTTTTTAATCACAACAATAGTTTAAGCTTAAACTATATTATTAAAAAAAAAAACAACTTCGGATTTTGTTGAGTTTTAGTAATTATTCCCCTATACGGACACGACTTAAACAGAATAGATTCTCATAAAAGCATTAGCTTCGTCCATATTTTACAGACGTTTACTGTTTATATCAATTAAAAATACAGTCCTACTTTTAAAAAAAGAAGCATCCGGCCCTACATTAAGGAAAGTGTTCCTACGTTCTTTTAAAAACACAGGAGGTATTTTTACGTCAGTTTTGTACATACTGCTATACTATATATCTATGTCGGAGCTAGAAGATAATTTGTAAATAGATTTTTAGGAATTAAAAACACTTTAGAATTTGGCAAAAACTCAGTAAGTTTCGTTAGCTTGGAAGGCGAACGCCCTCTATAGGCCTGTGGATGTTCATGTTGAACTAAAATACCATTACGCTTACATAAATTAAATTTCATCAACCAGTATCAACTGAAATTTATTAAGTGAACAAATAACATTTTTATTTAAAAGGAAGGAAAAGTTAACACTGTAATGAGCTTGGAAAGTTGAAATCGTAACGTTCCCTAGCATGTAATATAATGTAAAACAGATCAAATGATTTTTAAAACATAACACTTAAAAGTGTGAATAATTTGAAACACAGCCATATTACTCAGTGGGCCCGGGGCCAGAAAAAACAAAAACCAACTGTGTTATTCGTCCATATTGTTGCACGAGAGTATTTTACGTCTTCACCAACAAAATGTTTTTCATCGAATCTTAAATTTCAATTAAATTTGGCATTAATCAATCTGTATACCTTAAACCAACTATAGCATTTCAATTTTATATTGTGATTAAGTTTCATTGTTTTAATTAAATGTAAATCATTTTATACTTTTATCAAAAGTTTTTACCTTTTTTGATGAAAAATGTAATTAAGCACCCAATTCGAGAATGTGTGGAGGCCTGGTGTTATGCTTATTATTATTATTTTGGTTGCTTAAAATTTGTTTCGTTGTTTTTATCAGTTTCAACATATTGATATTTCATAAAAAAGTTTGGTAGGAAGATCGTGATTGAAAAAAGGACATGGTGGGTTTGAGGATCCATGTTTAATTAACCTGGCACTGGCTCGAAATATGATTATATATATTAGGTCATCAAAAAATTAATGTCGTTTTTTAGATGAAAAAAACCCGAACAACTTATATATCAAAACAAGACATTTATTAAATAAAATAGTCTCCATTC